TCCGTCTCTCTCTCCCCTTCTCCTTCCTTCGCTACTTTATTAATTTGTTTATAAAATTCTCTCCCCCTTCTCTATCCCGCTTTCAACCTTCCTCTTTCCTTTCCTATTTCCTCTCTCTCTCTTCCTCTTACTACTCTTTCGCCTCTTCCTTTTCTCCCCCTCTCTCTCTATCATAATCTCTCTTCTATATATTTCTTCTACCTCTCTATACTAGGAGTGAGGAGTGGTGGAGGTAGGAAGGGGATGGAGAGAGAGAGGGGGGAGGTAGGAAGGGGGGGAGAGAGAGAGAGGGGGAGGTAGGAAGGGGGGGAGGGGGGGTACTCCATCACCTCTGCCATGTTGCTAATCAAACGAATCACAGAGAGAAAAACAACAACCTAACCTAACCAAATCTAACCTAACCTAACCCGGAAGATATTGATATTAATTAAATACAGGTCGTGATATTGACACGGTAGGAGGTATAAGTAAGGAATTGAAGACTTATTCCACCTCTGAGAGAAGACAATATTACTTAGAATATTTTATAATATTTCTGACTATATTAAACCTCATTATTATCATACTAAGTGACATATTGAATCATATTTCTTTACATATTCTGCCATATTGGAATACACTTAGTCTACTTCACATTAAAATTAAAATTATTACTCTGAAATAATATAGTAATAAACAAAAATATAATATAGCATCCAATGTGGTAGTGTATAGGTAAACCTCGACATATTGGTCAGGACATATTACACGCTATATTGAATTACACTTTAGATGACACAGTAGCCAATATGTGTAGTCATGTAGATCAAATAAGATGGCAGTTTTAAGTCATGTTAAGTCATATATTGAGGATTATAGACATATAATTCAAATAAGATTATATAATATAACCTTTATGATAACAATTATCTAGGGAATGAAGTTGCATTTTTAGTCATTTATGTGATTATTAATTCATAAATGACTATATATATACCTGGCTACATATACAGTACGTATCATACATGTTTTAAAGTCACATGTGCATCTGAGGAAGCGTGACGTCATTCTGGCTATATGTGAGGTCACTACCGTTTTAAAGTCATATGTGAGACGTAACCTGAGGAAGCGTGACGTCATTCTGGCTATATGTGAGGTCACTACCGTTTTAAAGTCATATGTGAGACGTAACCTGAGGAAGCGTGACGTCATCCTGGTTATGACGTCACTACATGTAAAATTATGACGTCATTGCGGTTATATATGACGTCACTACATGTAAAATTATAACGTCATTGCGGTTATATATGACGTCATTACATGTAAGGTTATGACTACCATGTGTTGTTGTTATTAAAATTCTTCATCATTGTCATTATTATTATTATCATTATTATTATTTCAGTCTATATGAAAGAACAGTGTAAGAAGTGAGGACATTTAAACCCTATAATCAGTATAATATAATAAATATATATAATGATATATAATGAACATGTGAGCTCCATATACCAAGAGTATATAGTAGGTGCTCCGGGATGGAACCAGTGAGCCTTAGGGCGGTAGGTGAGTGTTGTATCTACTCGGCCACCGCACTCTATAACTCCACATTAAGTACATATAATAACTAACTATATATAGAATTAGAGAATGTGACGTCAGTATAAGTTACCAAACAGTGAAAGAGAAAGTAACGAATATTTCAGGTATTTCCTCCTGTGTCTGGTACACCTGTCAGACACACACACACACACACACACACATATTTAGTTGGAGAGATATTCAGACAAACAGACAGACAGACAGACCGATATACAATTAGACAGACAAACAGACAGACAGACAGACCGATATACAATTAGACAGACAAACAGACAGACAGACGACGTGGAAGACTCATAAGATAAATAACATGAGTCATCACAGCTGTAACGTGGACAAAAGTGACGGTCATCACTACCTATACTTGTTCTCACCCCCGAAGGCATACATACATACATACATACATACATACATACATACATACATACATACATAAGCACACGTACACCTGACTTATAAATAACCAACAGGAGACAACAACAAGAAATTATCCCAGTTCCTCCATCATTATTCTTATATTTATTATTGAGATGTAAATAATGATGGAAGCTGCTGCAATATTTTCTTGTGTGTGTGTGTGTGTGTGTGTGTGTGTGTGTGTGTGTGTGTGTGTGTGTGTGATAAAATTTTATACCTTTAAATAAATTACTTTTACGAGAAATAATACTAATACTAATACTAATAATAATAATACTAATACTAATACTAATACTAATACTAATAATAATAATAATAATAATAATACAGTATAGAACAAAATACAAAAGAATGTGTACACCAACAACACAAAAACACCAAACATGAACAACAAACAATAACAAAAGGTGTTGCCTGCGGTTGTGGTGTTTACAGATCGCATTACTTTTATTTGTTTGTTTAACTCGGCAATAACTGGTGTGGGGGGATTAAGCTGTCCTAGTCACCGTCTACAGTTGGATTACTGAAATATGTAAGACAAATTTGTACTCCGATCACCGACCTCTCTCCCCTCCCCCTCACCCCATCCCCCTTCAGGTGATACTGGGGGGGGGGGGCTAATCTTCAGGTGATCTAGGGGGGCTAATCTTCGGGTGATTTTGGGGCTAATCTTCGGGTGATCTGGGGGCTAATCTTCGGGTGATCTTGGGGGCTAATCTTCGGGTGATCTTGGGGGCTAATCTTCGGGTGATCTTTGGGGCTAATCTTCGGGTGATCTTGGGGGCTAATCTTCAAGTGATCCAGGAATTAACTTACAATATTCATAACCTCTCAAACAAGGTTCCGGATTTTCGAAGGTTTACTAATTACCTTTTCAGACAGGTAAGGAGGCCTCTACCTGCAGTACTATACCTGTGACTTAACCCCTTGATAATGATGACTTAAATCCTTCAGAATGATGCCTTAACCCCTTGATAATGATTCACCCTTTAATAATGATGATTTAATCCCTTAATAATGATGACGTAACCCTTTGAGAATGATGACTTAACCCCTTGATATGATGACTTAACCCCTTGATAATGACTTAACCCCCTGAGTACGATGACTTAACCCCCTTGATAATGACTTAACCCCTTGAGTACGATGACTTAACCCCTCCAGTACGATGACTTAACACCTTGAGTACAATGACTTTAACCCCTTGAGTACAATGACTTTAACCCCTTGAGTACAATGACTTTAACCCCTTGAGTACAATGAGTATTTAAGGGACTTAAGAGTCATTACGACCACTGGGAATAAGTAGTCTTGAAACCTAGTAAGTTATTTTTTGCTTCAGTCTAATTATTGCCTGTAGTGTGTGTGTGTGTGTGTGTGTGTGTGTGTGTGTGTGTGAGTGTGTGTGTGTATATATATATACGTGTGTGTGCGTGTGTATGTATGTGATTTAACCGAATCAAAATGCCATAAGGATATATGAATCAAGTCAAGCATCACCCACCAAGAAAATAACAACACGTTCTTGTATAATTTACCTGAGATTTATCATCATACCATCAACACCTGACTTGACGTTACGTAATTACAGACATGAATCAGAGCAAACACTTCCATCCTCAGTAATTATAGGACACGTACCTATAATCCATCTATATGAGAGAGACTTATATAAGGGGATCCCGGTTAGTTGGAACTGATTTCTAGGAACACAGGGAGGTAGAGCACAGGGAAGGAAGGGGAGTGGGCTGCTCCTTGGGGGGGTGGGGGAGAATTGAGTCATGTATGCCAAGTTGGTTGAGATCTGCCAAATGATGGAGGAGGAATAATAATCCCTGTGCAGTGTGTGTGTGTATGTATTAAATGTTCTGATGAATAGTGCTGCTTAGGACACACACACACACACACACACACCTACACACACACACACACACACACACACACACACACATATATATACACACTTGTCTTTTGAGATAATACAACTTCAGTACACTTCATAATACACTGACGGCTGTGGTGTATGTGTATGACGTCAGAGTAGAGTTGTATACATAGATAGATAGATAGATAGATAGATAGATAGATAGATATGTATATGTATTTACCTCTATATAAAGAACACAGAAATATACAGTTAGAGAATGAGTAAAGAGAACTAATGAAACAAAACCAACAGGTAAAGTTCATAACCAGGTATAGGGGGGGCGTGTGATAATGTACACCTGAATAATGCATCTCTGTTATTCACATCATGGAGGGGGTCTGTTGCTGTCTGTCTGTTGTTTGTTTCTGTTGTTTGTCTGTTGGTCTGTTTATTTTTCTCTATGCGTCTGTTTTTAATATTCATATGATCGTTATCTGTGTAATATCTGTAAGTGGATGATACATAGAGAGTATTACTGTTGTATACTTAATTAAGGAATGTTGTATTAACCTTGTGTGATGTATAGTGTTGTGTTGTATTACCCTTGTGTGATGTATAGTGTTGTGTTGTGTTACCCTTGTGTGATGTATAGTGTTGTGTTACCCTTGTGTGATGTATAGTGTTGTGTTGTGTTACCCCTTGTGTGATGTATAGTGTTGTGTTGTGTTTCCCTTGTGATGTATAGTATTGTTGTATTTACCTTAATGTGATGTATAGTGTTGTTGTGTTACGCTTGTAGCAGTGCTATAGTGTTGTGTTGTGTTGTATTACCCTTGTGTGATGTATAGTGTTGTGTTGTGTTACCCTTGTCTGATGTATAGTGTTGTGTTGTGTTACCCTTGTGTGATGTATAGTGTTGTGTTGTGTTGATAGTTGTTGTTGTTATTATTATTATTATTATTATTATTATTATTATTATTATTATTATTATTATTATTATTATTATTATTATTATTATTATTATTATTATTATTAGTAGTAGTAGTAGTAGTAGTAGTAGTAGTGAGATCTACGGCTAAGGACAACACCCACCACACCACTACGAGGTGCTACTCAACTTAAGGTGATCCTCCAGCACAACAAACCGATGGTCGGGTCTATCGAAATGACGTCACAGCTCTATTGTGTAGGAGGAAATTATTCATTAGAAGTAAGCTTAGTGAGGTCAAGGAACAGCTCAAGGAACAGCTTAAGGAACAAGTCAAGGAACAGCTCAAGGAACAGCTCAAGAAACATGTCAAGGAACAAGTCAAGGAACAAGTCAAGGAACAGCTCCAGGAACAAGTCAAAGAACAGGTCAAGGAACAGCTCAAGAAACATGTCAAGGAACAGCTCAAGGAATAAGTAAAGGAACAGGTCAAGGAACAGCTCAGGAACAGCTCAAGGAACAAGTCAAGGAACAGGTCAAGGAACAGCTCAAGGAACAGCTCAAGGAACAAGTCAAGGAACAGGTCAAGGAACAGCTCAAGAAACATGTCAAGGAACAGCTCAAGGAACAAGTCAAGGAACAGCTCCAGGAACAAGTAAAGGAACAGGTCAAGGAACAGCTCAAGGAACAGCTCAAGGAACAAGTCAAAGAACAGGTCAAGGAACAGCTCAAGGAACAGGTCAAGAAAACATCTACGAGTTGAATATCACCACCGCCACCACCACCACCACCACCACCACCACCACCAAATCAACAAGTAAAAATATAAATAAAATCATACCGTGAGTAAGACTTCAACCATTAACACTGAGAAAAACTTTTAGGAACATAAATAAAATCTAACTTAACTCACTTTATTACCCGGATAATTAAAGGTTATAACGCAAAGAAAATTGTATATCATAAAACACGATAATAAGTTAATACGACCAAGAGTGCTTACTGAACGGTCTAGTGTGGTGTAGTAAGAAGGTAATCTGACCACTCGTGTCGTTACCCTTCACAACACACCTCATCCTTATGTATGTATGTATGTGTCTGTCTGTATGTATGTATGTACGTATGTATGTGTCTGTCTGTCTGTATGTATGTATGTATGTATGTATGTGTCTGTCTGTCTGTATGTCTGTATGTATGTATGTATGTATGTATGTATGTATGTATGTATGTATGTATGTGTCTGTCTGTCTGTCTGTATGTATGTATGTATGTATGTATGTATGTATGTATGTGTCTGTCTGTCTGTCTGTATGTATGTATGTATGTGTCTGTCTGTATGTATGTATGTATGTATGTATGTATGTATGTATGTATGTATGTCTGCCTCCAATAATCTATATATCTATCCATACATATATGTACCAATATACACATATGTATAAATAAAGTATACATAGAAATATACAGTAAGAGAATGAGTAAAGAGAACTAATGAAACAAAACCAACAGGTAAAGTTCATAACCAGGTATAGGAGGCGTGTGATAATGTACACCTGAATAATGCATCTCTGTTATTCACATCATGGAGGGGGTCTGTTGCTGTCTGTCTGTTGTTTGTTTCTGTTGTTTGTCTGTTGGTCTCTGTTGTTTGTTTGTTGCTGTTAGTCTCATTTGTTGGTTTCTGTTACTGTCTGTTGTTTTCTGTTGCTGACTGTTGTTGGTATCTGTTGTTGATCTGTTGCTGTCAGCCCTTCATCAGTAAACAAGTAAACAGTGTGACAGATACTACACTCGACTGCCACCCCCCCCCTCCCCCTCCTCTCTACAGGCCGTGTCCACCTTGTCAACACAATTAGCAAGGACACGTGTCACTCCTCGTACTAATCACGGACATAATGATTACAAGGGTCGACCTCTCGTGGGACACCTTCACTACTTCTTCAAGCAGGTACCCCCCCTCTCTCTCTCTCTCTCTCTCTCTCTCTCTCTCTGTCTCTCTCTCTCGGTAGAAACAGGTAGGCAATAGATAGTGCGTAGGAAGTGAGAGACAAGGTGAGAGAGACAGGTGACACTGGGTACTGGGAAGTGAGAGACAGCGTGAGAGACTTGTGTTATCCTCATCAAGACAACAATAATGTTATCCCATGGGAACAACACATCCGATAATAACTTTACCTGTGTTGGCATGGTAACCAAACATAACACAGGTGAGATGTATATTTACACCTGACCTAATTTAACCTATCAATACATAACCTAACCTAACCTAATATAACCTAAAAATACATAACTTAACCTAATCTAACCTAACCTAATCTAACCTAACCTAACCTAACTTAATTAATCCCCCAGGTAACGTCAGGGTGTTTAATCAGCAGGTGAAATATGTGAGGGACCAATCTCTATGTGATCCCTGTACTCTATAGAATGACAAGAGGAAGGGTGGATGATGGGAAGGGGAAGGGGAAGAAGAATGGGAAGGGAAAGGGATGGATGATAGGGACGGGAAGAAGAATGTAAGAAGGAAAGGGAAAGGGTTAGATGATGGGAAGGGAAGGGGAAGAAGAATGGGAAGGGAAAGGGATGGATGATAGGGACGGGAAGGGGAAGAAGAATGGGAAAGAAAGGGATGGAAAGGGGAAGAAGAATAGGAAGAGAAAGCAATGGATAATGGAAAGGTACGAAGACAGATGATGGAAAGAAGTAAAAAAAAAATGAAATCTCCCATCTCTCACACCTCAGGGATTCCTCTCACTTACCATAACACACAAACTAATGTAAACACAACTCAAGAAGACATTTCAGGTAATCAATGACTTACTTTTGCATTACGCTTCAAAACCACTACTTTCTCGTGGACTTTTAAAGTACTATAATAATTTACCAGACACGCATAGTAATCATCACTAAATCTATCGTTTTCGGTTTGTTGTCGCCGATAAAAATCTCGTATCATTGACGATATATTTTACTATTTTTTTTTATTATGAAATTAAGTCGTTTTTAATAGCTTGTCTTTCTTGAATTAATAGAAGAAAATAAATCGTAATATCAAGGTGAAAATATATACGTTTTAATAAGATAATTTCTACGATCAACAAAACAGTCAGACATACAAACGCTCTCCCAAATTTCCCCCTTGTTTATGTCTCAACATTTTCGCTTCTCCTAGACATAACGTCCTCGTTCTATCGTGTCTATCTTCCTTATGGTCTCTTTATCTCTCACTTTCTCTCAGTAGTATCTCATCGGCCTCTCCAATCGGGAGGAATTAGTCATTTTCGCCAATCTAATTTGCATATCCGTAGCGGCACCCGTGCATCCTTATGTTGGCAGGACTTAGGTTATGTTGGCAGGACTTAGGTTATGTTGGCAGGACTTAGGTTATGTTGGCAGACCTCAGATTATGTTGGCAGGACTCGTGGGAGGGCTCGAATCATGTTGGCAGGACTCAGGTTATGTTATCAGGAGTCAGATAATGTTGTCAGAACTCATATTATGTTGTCAGGAATCATATCATGTTGTCAGGAATCAGATTATGTCGTCAGGACTCATATCATCAGGACTCATATCATGTTCTCAGGAATCAGATCATGTTGTCAGCTCAGAATTATGGAGTTAATACATCTGCTTTATTTAACCTAACTATATATCCTAGCCATCCTCCACACACCATTTAAAAACACCAATACTCCATAACACTATATTTTTATTATTAACCAACACTTTTATCAAGGATGACTTTTGTTGTTGTGGGAGTTTAATATAGATTATTTTCTCTTACTTAATATCATAATAATGTTCTTAATATATACATTAACTCTGTATTTCTTATGACTCGTGTGGGTTTTTTTTTTAAGTTTTGTTGAGTTTATCAGAGGTGTTATGGTGTTTGTATGTGTGTTTGTTTGTCTGTTTCTGTTCTTTGTTAGTCTATCTGTCTGTCTATCTGTCTGTCTATCTGTCTGTCTGTCTATCTGTCTGTCTGTCTGTCTGTCTGTCTGTCTGTTTCTCTTTTCTCTGTATTTTTTGTCTATTCCATACGCGGTAAACACACACATAGACATAACGTATATACAACCGTGTGTGTGTGTGTGTGTGTGTGTGTGTGTATGTGTGTGTGTGTGTGTGTGTGTGTGTGTGTGTGTGTGTGTGTACCTTATGTTACAGTTGAGGCAGTGAGTGAGGTCAAGTGCAGTAGCGGCTTAGTATACAAGGTCATGTATCCACATTCTCCCTAACGAGTCAATAAGGTCCATTTTACATTCACTATATAAATAATAATCACTATAGTTTCTTACACGCACGAGCTGCATGACCCAGTGTCAAGGAATAGTCCGAGAAGACCGGACAACTCGCCAACTGCACTGGCTAACCATTACCCCGGAACAAGGTTAACATCCAGATTCCCCATTACTGCTGGGTAGACAGAGGCAAATGGCGTAACACACACACACACACACACACACACACACACACACACACACACACACACACCACACTTACAATACCCATATATTTATCATCCAGGTATCGTAAACACTAATTTTTTTTTCTTTACATTTTCCCAAGGCCCATAAACACTTCCCACAATCACTACGACTATTTGGTAAAGTTTAGTTGGTAATACGGGGGAGAGGAGACCGGCGTGAATGGCTGGCGAAGCGTCATTTATTCGTCCCAAGTTGTTTGACACCGGTCCTCCTCAATATTGTTCTGTCTATTGGTATTTTGCCTGTTTTTTTTCTGTCCCCTGTCTCTTGTTTTCTTTGACTTTTTCTTTTGTTTTTATTAATTTTTGTATTTTGTGATTTTTTTTTGGTGTGATTTTGTTTGTAATTTTTTGTGATTTTGTTTTTGTTACGTCGTGTTTTATGTTGTTTGTAATTTGTGTTTGTATTTTAAGCTGAGATTTTGTGTTTAGTTTTAACTTTATCTACTCTTTAGTACACATTTCACTTGATGTTATTATACTATTCTTAAATTATGTTTTCTCTAATATAGGATATATTTTCTTATCACTATATCAGTAAGTACAGTAGATATTCTTCTGCTGTAGTATCCTAAGTTTGGTCAATGATATCTATATACGTCTTACATTAGGGTATAAGGGAATAGTACAATACACAGACCTTTCACTGACCTACACTAACAGTTCACTACAGCTTCCCTCTACTAACACTGTGAATAAAATGAATCAAGAACCTCCACATTTACTTAACTGTTACACTTTTATCACGGCAGGAGAGTTTGACAATGGCGACTACAACACACAGACGACATCATCACAAAACACTAACTCATCCCTGTCAGTATTGTATTATCTTGGGCCACTCGTTTACTTCTATAATGTTCGCTTTTATTTATCTTATTTCACTCATTATCTCACAAACGTATTTTTCTAGCAGTTTGTGTTTCAGTGGGTCTACCTCTCTCCTCCAGTGTTTATTAAGAGACACTGGAGGGCCGCTAGTGTTGTGCTACTTTCCAGGTATCTAAGTCCCGTCTAGGTATTATTTTCCCGTTGTAAACTTGATTAATTCTCCAAGTATTAATTTTTCTCAGTTTGTCTTTTCTCACATTATGATGATTTCTATTAGACTTTTCTTCAATGCCTCACTGCTTAAGGGTATATACGACACGGACAAACCCACAAGATTATCACATTATTTTCACCCTGGATTATCTCTTAGGAGCAGTATTGTGATATTAACCATTTAACATTATATTATTAATATTCACAAGAGTAAGAAACCATGATCA